GAACCTGTCACCGCCACACCACCATCTAGACCTGCCATCCAGTCACAGTCGGACTTGTGACAGTTTCTAATTTGACAAACTCTAGCTGCCCCCATGAGGATATGACAGGATATGTAACAGGCCACCACCACATGGTCCGTTTTCTATTTACTGGCAGGAGAAAAATACCTTGCATTTTATGGTGCATTTTACATTTGTTCAAGACGCCTCTAAATACACAGTTCTCTACCTTCACAACTCATTATCTTTCATATACAAACAAGAACAATAATGTACAGATTAGGATCCCTAGACAAGTGAAAGACAGCTGAAGCTAGAATCTGGGCTGTTGACATCCCAGTCCAGGGCAGTCAAGTGCTCAGGTACACTCACATGTCCCAAAATTCTACTTTAGATCATAATCCCCCCCAAAACACTTTACAGGCAGGCAGGAGACTGCACCCTGCTCCTCAGAGTACCGAGGTTACAGATCGTGCTTTCTGGCTGTGTGAAAAAGGATGAGTGAATTGAAGAAAGATAATGTGCGGAAACCATTGAGAGTGGAATCTGAAACTGGGCAAAGAACACGAATTCTGTCACGTTGAAGATTTCATAAGAAACTTTACAAAAATAATCTCCCAAGTCCTCTCTTGAAACAGGTTGAAAATGATTACTTATTCAAGCATCTTAGCTCCTTTTTGGGTTAGATCGAAGGGCTAAAAGAAGAGGCTCCTTTAAGAAGAAATTCTAGTGAGTGAATGAAGACTTTCAAAGGACTGTGGTTCAAAAGCTTTCTAAAAGGAGAAGGAAAATGCAAATCCCTTCGGGAAGAGATAAAGTGCGACTAAAGTTAGGTGAAAGAAAGAACAGCTCTTGTGGGAGATAAGCTGCACTGAAGGAAGCTTCATAGATGCAGAAGGGTTTATGGGCAGGCTAGGGTATCCAAGGTTGGTGGCCGTTGAGGCCGTTGACTGCAGGGAGTTGGCGCCCCGCCCTCTCTTTTCCCCTCTCCACCCCCATCCCCTGCACCTCCCACCACCATTCGCAGTAACTTGCGCGTGCGCGCACGGACACTGGGTTGCCAAACATTGCATCATCCCCGCCCCCCTTCTTTCCCTTCCCCCTCCAGCTCCACTCTCCGCGCGCGCGTATGACTCACCCACCGCCTCCGAAATGCCTCGTGACCCGAAGCCACTTCCGGGTCCAACACTATTTCGACCCCTAAGCGGGAGGGAGCGAAGTGGGCGGTGCCGAGAGGATCTCCTGAATGGCGGATGTACAGAGCGAGGCGGGGCTAGTTTGCCGTGCCGTTTTCTGATTGGTAGGTTTTTAACCCCGCCCCTAGAGGTGGGCAAAGCCATCTTAAAAGATCCGAGGACTGCGTTCTACCGAGGTCAGAGGCTAGAGTCTAAGACTTAGAGCAGATCATGTTGAAGATGAGTGGGTGGCAGCGACAGAGCCAAAATCAAAGACGGAATTTGAGGAGAAAGGTGAGTACTGCTTAGCTGTCTACCTTTTATTTTCCCACCTTTAAGAGCTGTCTTCTCAAATTTGGGTCATCTGTTCTTTAGGTTGTGGCCCAGCCCCCCTCCCACAAAGTTAGTGACCTTTATGAGAGAGGGGAATGCCTTATTCGAAAGTGAGTTTACACACCCCTCTTACAACGATGTCACCACGCCCCTACAGTGATCTTGGACCCTTTTCTGTCTCGGGAGACATCGGCCTTTTTCTGCCCTCCAGAGACATTCTGACATTACTGACCCCCAGTCTTCTAGTTAAGCCTGCGGGTGGGAGGCGGGGCAGCTGGACACACCCCTGCACCTAGAAGCCTGTGTGATCATATCATGGCTCTTGCCCGGGCTCAAATTTGCCACCAGCGGCCCGCCCTACCGCAGCCCTGTCCCAGCCACATCTTGAGGCCTTCTGGGCTACATCGGTGCTTTTGGATTCCCGAATCCTAGACCGTAAGAACGTTAAGGAAACGGATAGAAGGCCACCTGCAGAAGAGAGCAACCTGATTGTCTTAAGTTTGGGAAGCCATTTGATATCTCCTCTTGTGTATTATCCTTCCCTTGGGATTGACCTCTGCTTGTCTTCCTCCCCCCAACTAATCTCTCTGTAACCATTGCATCAGGCCAGCCCCCTGTTTGGCACTGCAGTCCTCTGGCCTAGGGCTCCACTGCTGATGAAAGCTACATCCCACGCTCTGGAAGGCAAAGGAGGGTTCTCCAGGGAGGACAGCCCTGCAGAGAAACATTCAGAGTGATATTGCATCTCCTGTCCTCAGGGGACAGGAGCCTTAGACAACTAAGGCTTAGGCTTCTATCGTACAAGGTGGGGGGACGGGGGAAGGCGTGCAAATGGTCACATGCTCCTCTAAGCTAAAACGTAGACGTTCATCTACCCAGAGGTGCCTCAGAAAAAAGGCCTAATAACCTTCTGGAAAAATAAAACCAACCAACCAGTCACGTTGAAAGGGTCACCAGGAGTCATTCACTGGAGGGAATTTCTCCGTTTTTCTTTTTTTTGAAGTAACTATTTGAGTTTTTGGTTTAAGTTTACATAGTAAAGTCCCTTATTTGACAATTTACACAAGTTGTTTGGTGGTTATTAGTTACATCTATCAGTGTGTCATGTTAGTTTGTTTCCTTTTTAGTATTCTAGTTTCCCTGCTTCTTTGCTGCTTTTTATACTAATGGTTTTTTAAACAGGGCAACTATATTATGGGTAGGGAGCTCTGGTGGCCTAGTAGTAAGAAGCTGGGCATTCTCCTCCCATGTCTCTGAAAACGCACTGGAGGGTCAGCTATGGGTTGGTTCCAACTTAAAGGTACACAACAATATTATGAGTAATAGCCTTTCTTTTCTGTACTACTGTTATTCTGCCAAATTAAAGAGTGTCATAGAAAGCTATCTATTCATTCTTAACAAATATTGAATATACATACTATGTCCTGCGCACATCAGTAAAAAAGGGGGAAAGGGAGCTCTGGTGGCCTTAGTGGAAAGCTGCACTGCAGTCCCGAAGGTATAGGGTTCAGATCCACCAGATGCTCCGCTGGAGGAGGGGCAATCTCCAGCACACAAGTAAAAAAAAAAGGGGGGAGAAGTATTTGCCTAGAGCTTACAATTTAGTGGAAGGTACAATTAACAAAATCTCTGTGGGAAAACTATAGGGAAGGGAATAGAAAAGAGTGGAGGTTAGGCTTTACATAGAGTGGCCAAGGATTAGCTCACTGAAATGAGAGACCCAAAGGAGGTGAGACAGGTATACAGCTATCAAAGAACTTTCAAAAGGAACAAGGAACAGCAAGGGTAAATGCACACCTGGTGTCTTTAGGGACTAAAAGAGTACCAGTTGATTGTATTGTGAATAAGAAAGTGATGGGGTGAAGAAAGGAGATTTTGTAAGGCCTATTATAAGCCATTTAAAAAACTTTCACTATTGATGCTGTCAAGTTGACTGATTCATAGTGACAGGTCAAAACTATGCCATCCTAGGGGAGCTCTGGTGGCCTAGTGGCAAGAAACTGAACTGCAATCCCAGAGGAACACGGTTCGAATCCACCAGACGCTCTGCCGGAGAAGGAGGCGCAATATCCTCCTGTACCAGTCAGATCTGATTTGACGGTACACGTACACAAAATTAAAAAAAAACAAAACAAAAACAAAACTATGCCATCCTTAGTCTCCACTGCGCTTTAGACCATTGTTGCAGTCACTGTGTCACCATGTATTAAGGGCCTTCCTGTCTTTCACTGACCCTTTAGTTTTCTAGGCGTGTTGAAATTTTCCAAGGATTTGAGTTTTTAGTATGCGTAAGTAGGAAGTCGGTGACATAGGAGTCTGACAGGGCCTAGCTTAAATTTTAAAAGGCTTTCTGGTTGAGGTATTGTTGGGAAGAGATTTGGGAAGAGTAGAAGCTGATTTCCCTTCAGTAATCCAGAGAAGATGGGATGGTAACTTTGACCTAGACTGGAAACAACTGAAATGGTGGCAAATATTCAAATTATGGGTTTTTTTCAAAGAAATTTTGCTGATGGTTTGGATTGAATTGAATTGTGAAGTTTGAGCAGAGAGGAACCAAAAAATGTACTAAAGGTTTTGGTGAAAGCAGCCAGGATTTTCATTTATTAAAATGAGGAAAACTTTGGAAGGGTGAAGGTGATGAGCTGAGTTGGAAGTTGCCAGAGAGGTTCAGTCTGGAAGTATCCATTTGGAGGATGTCATTGTGAGAGTGAAGCTAGAAAAATGCCACTTAGTTTGCTCTTTTCCCTGGCAAGTTTTAGGCCTCCTTGAATTTAAAGAAAGCAGAGCTGGCCAGGACTTTGATCTTATATAACTAGGACTACAAATGTCAGCAACTAAAAATAAGAAGGGAGTTTTAGAGTCGTCTTTGTCCTTGGAAATGGCTGCAGAGAATGTTTGCTGCGAGAACTGCTTCCTACCCTGCAAGACAGGAAATAAGGACAAACAGGATGAAGATTAAGTATTCTGTCCTTTCGTATATAAAAATGGCTAACACTTACCCTTGTTTCCTCACAGTGTTCCAGAAGGAAGTGTATCTTCATACACCACCACACCTGAAAACAGGTAAATTGCCACTTTCCCAAGACCATATCCTAAAAAACTTAGTCTTCCTTTGTGGAGACACCAAGAAATTAAGCGGTGAAGGAGAAGGGAATCTGAGTGACCTTTTGATGTCAGGTTGTGTCCATCCTCTTGATCTAACTCTCACAAAGTGACAAAAATCACTATCCTTTTAGAACATGTTCTCTAGTTGGACAGATGAACAGACAATGAGTTTGTCTTACCAGGTCCCATCAAGATTAGATTGCCCAAGCTGAGCACACAGAAGAAAGGAGCACACACAGCCTGGTAACTGTTTGTGAAAACTACCTACTGATTTATTTATACAACAGGCAGGAGGCTACAGATTATTAGCCTTTGGTACAGGCTGTTTTGACTGCTTGGTGAAGATTGTTCTATCACTTTTACTATCCTAAATACCTACATATGTACTTTTCCAGAGCTTGAGCCAACTGCAGAGATGGAAGCTGAGTCTTTACCTTTCTCCTTTGGGACACTATCCAGCTGGGAGCTGGAAGCATGGTATGAGGACTTACAGGAGGTCCTGTCCTCAGATGAAAATGGGGGGACCTTTGTGCCACCCCCTGGAAATGAGGAGGTAAGAATGCTAGATCTAAAGCTAGTAAAGGTTGTTGCTCTTCTCTCATAAATTAATATCTGTCCTCCTTTTTCTTCTTCCCATTAGGAAGAATCAAAAACCTTCACCACGCTTGACTCTGCCTCTCTGGCCTGGCTGACTGAGGAGCCAGGACCAGCAAAGGTCACAAGCACTTCCCAGAGCCCTCGGTCTCCAGATTCAAGTCGGAGTTCTCTGGCTCAGGAAGAAGAGGAGGAAGACCAAAGAAGATCCAGGAAACGAAAAAAGAGTGGTCAGTCCCCAGCTCGGGCTGGGAAACAACGCATGAAGGAGAAAGAACAGGAGAATGAAAGGAAAGTGGCACAGCTAGCTGAAGAAAATGAGCGGCTCAAGCAGGAAATTGAGCGCTTGACTAGGGAAGTAGAGTCAACTCGCAGAGCACTGATTGACCGAATGGTTAATCTACACCCAGCATGAACAACTGGGACCATCACTCCCCGACCTTTCCCGAAAGTACTACTTCCTGATCAGTGCCAATATGACCTCATATTCAGTAGAGGGGAGGTCTAGGGTAGATTAAAGGAAGGGGTCCTCAGCTTTGTATATAGAGATATTTATTTGTCAGTGTCCGTATCCATTAAAGTGATTTTCTGTGATCCATGTCCTCTATCACTTTTTCTTCTTGCCTTTCGGGGGATCAAGGGGCTTCCCCTCAGCTACAGCCAACTGCTTCTTGAGCTCTAAAAGTTTAGCCACCTCTGCAGCCACCTGGTTCTTGTCTGCCTTTTGTGCTTTCAGTTCTCGGACAATGTTGCCCTAAGAGAATGGGGTTGGAAAGAATAACAATAGTAAATAAGGAAAGGATTGGCTTAAGATTCAGTTTTTCCAGTCTCCCACAGGGCTTAAGTGTCACACCTGTTTTGTCACTTCATCCATCAGCACTTGTATCTGCTGTGGCTCAGGTGCTGTAATAGTCTCTACAGCTACTGGCTTCTGGGAGGCTTTTGCCTGCAGAAGGATAATACAGTTATTCCTGCCCCTACCCCTCCCCTACCCCCATGGTTATACATCATCTCAGGAAGAAAATTATTACCTTTGATTCCAAAGACTCCTCTAGCTAAGACAGGAAAGAAAAACTATTAAGTGAAGAAGCAGCAAAGTCAAAAGATGGAAAGATTGATGAGTGAGGACTACATAGAGACATTAGGGAGATGCCTGTGAACACTGCTGTGTGAAGACACATGGTCTTGAGTTTCTTACCTGGCCTCCTCCAAAGCGCTGCCTCAGACTTTCAATCTGGTCATTTTCCAATTTTTGGAACAAGGGACTGACCTAGGGGAGGGGTAAAAAAATTTCCCAAGTCATTCACTCAGGCTAAGTAAAGGGCCTCTCCCAACCAATATCTGACATTAGGAACCTTAAATAGGTTTAGAAGAAACATGAGCATAATACTGAGCAAACACCAAGTGATAACCAAGAAAGGCATGAAAAAGAACAATATTAACAAGAGTCCACATCCCTAAAATCCAGGGATGTATTTTGTGCCCACCCTGCCTATTACCACAGAGACCAAGCAACCAGTTATCAAACATCTACTATGTGTTGTTAAGTGCTCTTAGTAGACTACAATTCATAGACCCTACAAACAATAGTTCTGAACCCTGCCCTATCTTACGCCTTTATGTCTCCAACACCCCTGCCCCCACTGTTATGTCACTGTGTCAGTCCATCTCATCCAGGCTCTTCCTCTCCTGCACTGACCCTCCACCCTTCAAGCATGATGTCCTTCTCCAAGGTCTGGTCCCTCCTGGCAACATGGCCTAAGCATGTGAGATACAGAATCCTTGCCTCCAGATGCAACCTGGTTTCACCCTCTCCAGGATGACCTGTTGGTTCTCTTGGAAGTCCAAGGGATGTCCAATACTCCAGTACCACAACTTATGTACCAGGTCCCAGGTTTAGGGATGATGAACAATGAGGACATAGAAGCTACAGATAACTTGAGACTTGTGAACAAGTATAAAGATCGGAAACAAGCATAAGTGCAGAGCTGAAGTACAAAAGAAATTCACAAAATACTGAATATCAAAGTAAAGGTAGAACATTAGATCTCCTCTGAGCCTACCTTAAAGATTGAAAAACTAAGGTAGGGATTTTAGAAAAGAGTGGCTCTTCTACTTCCAGGTACCTACTGTGCCAATCTGGTGTCCTGCTGGTAATGTGCATAGGAAGTTTGTGGGAAGGATACTGCAGACTGGAGGTGGAAGCTGCAGCTGGGCCTGGATGGTGGCACTAACCGTAGGCATGTAAGGCTGGAGTAAGATGGACAACAAGGCAGCTATATTAACTGCCAAGCCTGTCACTGTGCCTGCCCTCTGCCTGAGGAAGAAGAGATCCCAATCAGATACAGCTTACTCACCACTCTATTCCTGTAGCCACTTTAACCCTGTCCTCTCACCTACCTGTCAGACTCACTGCCTTTAATCCGCTTCCAAGGTTCATTCACCTGAATATACTGGTTGCCATGGCGAGATATGGTGAGGATACTGCGTAAGGCATCCCGGATCCTGAAAAGGGAAGAAGTGGCCAACGTGTAATGTAAGGTCCTGCTATGGAGCTCTCAACATGCCAATAGGTCAATGAGGTGAGACCAAGGAGAGGTCTAGGTCGCTTACCGAACCTTCTCAAGCAACTGGTGATAGTGCCGGAGCTCCAGGGTGATATGGGCCAGCAGGCGCTGATCATCTGAAGTAAGCACCATCTCTGGCACAGACCCACCAAAAAACTTAGATACAAACATCCCAGCTCTTGAAGGTAGGAGAGAAAAGAAGGAAAGTTACTGCCCATTCTCACTAGAGAAATTTGACCCATTTTCCACCATTCTATATTTTTTTGGTATTCCTACCCAGAATAGCTCCTATACGATGGGAGGTAAGGTTTAATACATCCTATTTTTTTCCCTCAGAACATGGCTTCACATCTAATTGACATTTCACATAAGGCCATCTCTTTGATTTAAAGAAACCTGGTAAAAGGGAAGCAACTGTTTTTTTTTTTAAGTCAGTCTTGGAATGATCAAAATGAAATACGAGATGAGATACATCATGTGTTCGTTATTACCAATGATTATTCCAGTAAAGACTGATTTTCTTAAGTGTAGTCAAAGAATCTATCCTGAATAGCATGACAGAAAAAGCCCCAAAGGCTCAGTCCTCAAAGTGAGGGACTGGAGAATCATAAACTGTGGAGAATGTTTCTTTAAGTGGTAGGGTAGCTGAGGTAGGGACCAACAATGGAATGTGAGCCCAGAAAACTCTAAAGTGCAGCAGAAGCCCACGCCTCTGACCCCTACATCAAAATAACTCCTTCCTTCTGCCAAACATTTCCAAAGTCTACATGTGAGTTTCGTTGCTAGGACATATCAGTGGTCTATAGGTGGATTCTGTTGCTAGCAGAGAACACATCTATAATTTGCCAACAATCTTTGTTACCACAAAGCTAAATCAATGTCCACAGTTAACCTCTCAAGTATAACCTGACCCTACTATGTGCTAAGACCAAATCTTACCACAATGGCTTCTCCATCCCTCACATCCTCCTATGCATTTACTAGTTCTCTCTGCATCCCCATCTCTAGAATACAGCAAATTGCAATTCAGCTCACGGTTGATTTTAACCTCTCACCAAGTCCTACCTGTTGATGAAGTTTCCCAGGTTGTTAAGGAGCTCAGAATTATTCTTGAGCAGCATATCTGTCCAAGAGAAGGCACTGTCCTGTCCCTCAGGTCGAATGTACAGCAGATAGAAGCGCCAAATGTCAGCAGGAATCCCCGTGTCCTTAGCCATGTCTCCAAACACTCCCACACCCCGGCTCTTGGAGAATTTCCCATCCTCATAGTTTAGGTACTCTGCAGAAAGAAGGAGAATAAACACCTTGATTGGATAATCAAGTCATGTTCATCTCTTTTTCTACCAACTCTTTCTTCAAGTGCAACCAACCATTTCTCCTTGAGTATCTGGCCTATACACCACTCCAGCCCCTTTCCTCACCATTCTAGTCCTGGTCTCTTTGTACCTATTACAGTTTTAACTTTAAATATCTGCTTTCATCAGGTTCCTGTTATGTTCTCATGTTCTAAATATGTCCTATTTCATCTCAACTCCAACTCAAGACTTAGTACCCCTCCACAATCTCCTTCTAGTACTGCCCCAGATATGATCTCCTAGAAACGTATCCCTCTCCAGTCTTCCATGGTACCTGTAGCAATTATGTGGCTGACCAAGGTGTAGTTGTCCTCAGCTCCTAAAGCTGTACAAGGGAAGACTAAGCCGTGGAAAGGAACATTGTCTTTGGCCATAAACTGATAAAGTTCCACCTAAAGGGATAGATGTACAGGAAAAGAGGTCTCCTGAGAACTTCAAAGGCTCAAATGACTAATCAATCCTAACCTGAAACATCCATTCACCACTACACTCACAGGGTCATCAAGAATTGCTTACTTGTTCTGGATTCTTCCACCATTTCTCCCACTGGTCTGTGTAATTCGCTGTAATAGATAGGTAGCCAATAGTGGCATCAAACCAGACATAGAATACCTGGAGAAGGAAGAAGGAACACAGAATAAACTTACCAGCTTGCAATTGCAGTTCACTGTCCACAGTTGATTCTGTTAGTCTGGGGTTTCAACCTCAAGGTCAAATAATTGGGGATATGAACTCTGGTGTTTTACCTTGTCCTCAAAACCTTCTAAAGGCACAGGTGTTCCCCATTTCAGGTCCCGAGTTATACAGCGTGGCTTGAGGCCATCTCGAAGCCAAGAGCGAATTATGAATCGAGCATTGGGTGTCCAGTCACTACCAGGTAGTACCTCTCCCAACCACTCTTCCAGTCGATTTTCTAGCTGGGATGGGCAGAGTAAGACAGAAGGCTGACTTAGAACAGTCCCACAAATGGTTTGCACAACGTTAAAGGGTACAACATTTCTGGAGTATAGTTTGTTGTTGTGGTGGTGGTGTACTGTTGAGTAGGAAGTGACCCATAGCTGACCTACGGTGGGTTGTCAGAGGCAGTAAATCGCATGGGAGGAGACTGCTCATCTTTCTTTCACGGAGCAGCTAGTAGGTTCAAACTAGGTACCTTTGTGTTGGCAGTAAATTCCTTACCACTAAGTCATCAGAAATCCCTATGAGTATAGTTCAGCAATATATAATGAAAAGACTCATGTACTTTGACATAGCAATTCTATCCCTAAGAATTTATTAATAAAAAAGTTTATCCAACAGAAATAGACAAATATTAAAGATCAAAAGGGTAGCATTTGCCCAGAGATAAAGATCAGAGGGTAAAAAAGGATAGGAAAGAAGGATAAACAGAAAGAAATATGGAGAAAGTAGAAAGAATGGGGACTACAAACAATGTAAAGACTCAAACACTTCAAATAATGTCATGAATCAAACATGTATAAACTGTTGAATGGAAAACTAATTTGCTCTGTAAGCTTT